GAAAGAGTGGCTACCTCCTGCCTTGATTGGATACGTTTCAGTCTCTAGCTCATAGGCTCTGGACACCATGGAGAAGGGGGTTAGCCCTACCGACAAGGTTCTCAGTCTCATGCAGCTCCCCTAAGCATTGACACATTCCTCTACAATTAGCTACTTCTCTCGGCCTTCAGATGGGGACATTCATGCAGCATCCCTGCTCTGTGCATGCCCCTTTGATCTCTGATGCTGCGGTGGTCCAGGCAAGACCATTGCTCCCACTCTCATCTGCCCTCCACAGTCAACTCTGTAACCAGCAGATAATGTGAAATCCACCTCTGAAAATGGGAGGAAGCCAGCCTGGACAGGGACCCCTGGGAAGTTGCCCACCGCCAGCTTTCTCCAGTTCTCTCATCCCCTGCTAAGGTAGCACAAGGGCAGTGAACCTTCAGCAATCCTGTAGTCTCTAGAGAATTGATTCTTAACTTCCCTGCAGGTCACCAACAGAAAGGATTGCTGAGGGCAACTTTACATTTTAAGATGAATGAAAGAGCTAAGTAAATGCAAAAAAACATCTTACTATTTAAAAACTTAGGTAAATTGACTAAGAATCTGGTACATTTTCGAACCTTTTCAGTAAGAACTTTTCCGAATCTGTTTTCTGAAACAGGTAATAGAAAACACTCTATCTACCTTGTGCTCATTCTACCTTATAATAGAAAATGCTCAGTAAAATTTAAACAAGGTCTTATAACAGAAAGGAAAACTATTAAATTTTAAACAAGTGCAGAATGATTGCAATTAAGAAAAGGAGTCAAAATTTGCTTTCTAAATTATTTCTTAAATGTTAAAGCACTATCCAATAAGAAATGAAATACTTAAAACTGTTAATTTCAGCAAAACTTATACCCACATGTTTAATGTGGTATTGGTTATTAGCAGGATGAGCTGTTCCGTACTCTTGCATCTTATAAACTTATTGCACCAAGATACAGATGGCAGAGAAGCAGATGGGGACAGACATGTCCTGTGAGTTTAAAAGAAGGTAACATCTATCAAGGATTGCCAGACTTTTCTGCAAGGTAAGAAAGATTTTCAGAACTTAATTTTAAAACTTGCCCATATCTCCTTTCAGTCATTTATGATGATGGCATATTTTAAGTTTTCTAGGTAAAATGTACTGTATGTCATCAGAAGAAACATTTAAAAAATTTTTATTGAACCCACGTCCCTATCTTCTTCCACCTATGCCAGCACCACCATGTAAAGTATTCATATTTGGACCTCAGTCTTCAGGGAAAACAACACTTAGCAATTTGCTTGCAGAACATTACAAAGGAAAGGTAACTACTTAGCTATCAAGCTAGCTTTCTACCTATCTGTACTTGATTATAATTTGTATAATTTGTTGGATTTGTACTAAGTTTTCTTAATTTTACACTGTCAATCGGGTAACTATTCCACTGGGCTTAGAGTGGGGAAGTCTCTCTCCTTGCTGTTTATTGTAGCTTCCAGACCATGGTCCCTCCCTGCTTCCGAAAAACCCCCGGACTTGACTGTTACATCATGCAGACGATACCACCCATTACGTCTCTTGGTTCCACCAGTCTGCTGTTTCCTGGGTTATACCCCTCCTTGCTCACTGTCACTCTCTCCAAATGCTCAGTCCTGTCTTAATTCTTGGTAATTTTGGTATCGACAAAGATGACCCTCCCTGCCTTCTGGCCTGTCAATTTTTTGATCTCCCCCTACAGTGATCTTGTTCTCCACCCTCAGTAAGTGATTTATTTTTAGCTTGGACCACAGTGACAGCAGTAGAAGTAGTAATATGCAGGCAGACTTGGGATATAATTTGAAGACAGAGCCAAAGCATTTGACGAGTAATTGGAATGTAGAGCAGGGGTCCCCAATCCCCTGGGCCGCAGACTGGTACAGGCCGTGGCCTTTTAGGAGCCAGGCCACATAGCAGGTAAGAGGTGGGCAAGCAAGTGAAGCTTCATCTGTATTTGCAGCCGCTCCCCAGCACTAGCATCACCGCCTCAGATCCACCTCAGATCATCAGGCATTAGATTCTCATGGGAGCACTGGACCCTGGTGCCAAAAAGGTTGGGGACCACTGATGTACTTTACATCTCCGTGACTATTTATATAATTGCTAATTTGTATTAATTTGTATTTCTTAATCCCTTCACCTTTTTCACCCATTCCTACAACCCACCTTCCATCTGGCAACTGTCAGTTTATTCTCTGTATCTATGAGCTTGTTTCTGTTTTGTTTGTTCATTTATTTTGTTTTTAGATTCCACGTGTAAGTGAAATCATATGATATTTGTCTTGCTCCGTCTGACTTATTTCACTTAGCATAATACCCTCTAGGTCCATTCATGTTGTTGCAAAGGGCAAGATTTCATTCTTTTTTATGGCCAAGTAATATTGCATTGTATATATGTGCCACATCTTCTTTATCCATTCATCTATCAATGGACACTTAGGTTGTTTCTATTTCTTGCGTATTATAAATAATGCTACAATGAACATAGGGAGTGCAGATATTTTTTTGAATTGATGTTTTGGGATTCTTCGAATAAATATCCACAGGTGAATTTGCTGGGTCACATGGTAGTTCTATTTTTAATTATTTGAGGAACATCCATACTGTTTCCCATAGTGGCTACACCGATTTATAATCCCACCAACAGTTCTTGCCCATATTTAAATATTTTTGCATATTATTGATAGAAAGTTTTTTTAATGTCTGTATACAAGTTCTTGTTTTTATTATAAGTGTTATAAATATTTTATACCACTTTCTGTGGTTTGCGATTTTACTTTTTTAATGAGAAAGTGCATCATGCTCTTCATTTAAAGCAAGTCACTGAGTCCTGCCTACACTGAGGAGAAGGAGACTTAGGATCCACCTTCTGCAGAGAGGAGTATTAAAGGATATGTGCACATGTTTTAAAATCATCACAATATGTGTCATACAAAGGAATTATAACTTTAAAATATAAAGAGTTCTTACAATTTAACGTGCAGATGAAGCCCCAATGGAAAAAAATATAGCAAACAGGCAAATTACAAAATAATAGATAAGAATAGCCATTAAACAGAGAGATGCCAAAAAACCAGTTATGTCAGTCTCACTGTTGGAGTTGAAAGATCATTATTAACACTCAAGGTTGATGTGTCATGAGGATGGGGAAAAGTATGTTCTCATACACTGCTGGTGAGAGTATAACTTTAGGGATGGCAATTAGAAGCCTAAAATCCTTTCAACTGTCAATTCTATTTTATAGATTTTTCTTAAAGAAACTGTCAAAAATACGTACATAACTGTATTAATCATAATCTAGTTTATATTAGTAAAAATATGTATACCTAAATATATATTATTGGTATTTTAGGTAAATAAATTGTGATATATTCATCTGATACAATACCATACGTCCACTAAAAAATAATTATGTAAATGTATATTTATTGGCATGGAATAAAGTAATATAAACATATTGAAGGAAAAGCAAAATGGAATCTAGAGATACGGAAATATTATTTAAACTTAAAAAGCATATAGAAATCTATTTCTAACAATTCAGTATGAAGTATATTATCTGCCTGACAAAGGGCTTAGAATATATATATAATTATAATTTAATTTTTAAATGGGCAAAAGTTGACATATGCTTAAAAACAGAAGGTAAGTAAATGACCAATAAACACATGAAAAGGGTCAAAATTACTAGTGACTAGAGAAATGTAAATTTAAACTAAAATGAGATACTCCTTCAGACCTATTAGACTGGTTAAAATTTAAAACATTCACAAACCAAATGTTGGTAAGTATCTAGGTAGAATGTAAAATAGTTCAACTACTTTGGAAACAGTTTAATGGTTTATTATAAAGTCAAATATACAATTGCCATGTGACTCAGTAATTCCACTTTGAGATATTCGCCAAGGGAAGTAAAACGTATATCCACAAAAAGACTTCTTCACAAATGTTCATTACTACTTTATTTATAAAGGTCCCAAACAGAAAACAACCCCAATGTCCATCAACAGATAAAAACTGGTATGTTTGTACAATACTACTACTCAACAATAAAAACTAACAGATTACTGATATACACAATTACACTGATGAATCTCAAAAACATTATAAGAGAGGAAAGCTTGGAAAAGATTGTATATTGTATGGTTCCATTTATATGAAATTCTAGAAAAGGTAAAACTGTAGTGACAGAACACAGAAAGTGGTTGCCAGGGCCCAGGAACTGACTATAAAGAAGCGTGAGGAAACTTTGTGAGGTAATACAAATGTTCTATATCTTGATTGCAGTTGTTGTTAATATGTATATATTTGTAAAAACTCATCAAACTGTATACTTAAAATGGATACCTTTTATTGTATGTAAGTTATACATACAAAGTTGTTTTAAAAAATATATATGTAATTTGAATATATATTGCATGATATATACATACATAAATATATAATCTTACATGAAAAATATGACTGAATTTCTATGAAAGCAAGTACTCAAAAATCAGTGAATTCTGAAAATAACATATCTCAAGCAGCATTAAGATTTTTGAGATAGATAGGTATATAGATATAAATAGATACAGATATAGATATAGATGAACAATGTGTTAAATTTTACAGTAACTTGTGCTTATACTGGTTTTCTCAAATATTCTTTGCAGGTAATTGACTATGCTAAATTCGTTCAACCACGTTTTGATAAAGCCCTTGAAACATTAATAAAAAATACCATAGCTGAGGCTACTGAAGTAGCTATTAAAACTGTGAAAGAACGGCTTCTTGTGGAACTAGAAGCTAGAAAACAAGGTGACTCATCTTTTAAAAATATACATTTTTTTTTGTTCGTTTGTTTGTTTTTAAGATTAGGTCAACAATGAAGCCTTGCTACCTGAGGGCAAGAATTTGGTTTGCTTGTCTTGGTATGTCTGGCACCTAGCACATTGAAGCCTCTCAATAAATGGTTGAAGAAATTAGTGTACATAAACCTGATTCATAAAAAGAGAAGATTTCAATTCTAGACATCTAAGGAAAGGAATCGGAAAGAGCTTCCAAACTTAGATTCTTTACTTTCGTGAGTCTGTTTGCTGGCCAGAGGCTAAGCAGAACTTGGGCCTTTATCTACACCAATCGTGACACCACCACCACGCCGCCTGTGACACCACCACCACGCCGCCTGACTCATGGAGTCAGCTGTCGTTGCTGCTATTGTTGTTTCAGACTTGTATGTTAGCTCTGATCGTAAATTAAATCTTTCTAGTTGGGGAATATTAATTTTAAATTCAAAAAGTGATCAAGAGGTGAAACTGGAAGAAGCCTTAGTGATCAGCTAACACAATTCTCTAACTTTACAAGTGAGAAAACTGAGGCACATGGAGGTAAAGGGCTTCCTGAAACTCACTCAGCTGGTAGCACAGCTGAGACTTGACTCCTTGTTTCCAACATCCCAGTGTTCTTTCTCCCAGCCATTCTGCCTCTCCCTATGACTCACTCTATACTGTATTTTTTTAGAATAGATGCAAGGGTTGTTTTGGGGTTTTTTTCCTATTTTTCTCTGGGAAAAAAAGAGAGGCCTTATTTTATGGCTATTTTTGAAATTCATTGATTGGCTTTGGTAGAATTTATATCTATAGTTGGCACTCTTATAACCAGTCACATTAGAACACAGGAAAACAGCTTAATCTAAATGTTTCCTCTTAGTGGGATACTCTCAGCGCAGCACTTCCTATACACTATGTAGGATCCGTCTCACTTTCAAAGTTATTAAGGATCCAAAATTTGAGATGAGCTCCAGCAATTTTAAGCTAGATTCAACCACCACTGTTTGGATTTTCAGAAGTTGTGACAGTGTACTTATCTTAATAAAGCATTTCTCCTTACAAAAGTCATAACAGATAGTATTTATTGGGCATTTACCATACGTTGTGGCTATGCTAAATGCATTGCAAGCATTACCCTACTTAATCCTCATAACAAGCCTTATGATGTAGGTATTTTTATCTCTCCTTTTGTAGGTGAAGAAACTAAGGCTCAGAGGGGTTAAGTAACTTGTCCACCGTTGGCAGCCAGCAAGTAATTGGGATTTTCAGATCAATGTCTGTGCTCTTATTCTCTATGTCTCTCCAGTGGTCACAGAAAACTGTAAAGAGCAGATGGAAAAAAGATTCACTCATACTCCCCAGAGATATCCCCTGTTAAGAATTTGATGTGTTCTTCAACCCTCTCTTTTTTCTATTCATATCTGTAATGATTAATTATGATCCTATGATATATGCAAAATTGCATTCTCTCATTTTAAAATAATGCTTTTTAATTAATATGTAATTATTGTAATAAATTGTGTTAGATAGGAATCTAAATTTATTATTTCAAAACGGTGGACCCATTTTACAAATAATATTTACTAAATTATCCATAATTTTACTAGAGATTTGAAATGCTATTTTTATCTTAATATTAAGTTTGTATGTATGTGTGTAAACTTTCAAACTTTTTGTTCTATTCATCTTTCTATTACAGCCTGTAATACAAAATGTAATTATTAAAGTTTTATGATGCATTTTAATCTAATAATATGAACTTTTCCTCAGAACATTTTGTTTTAAGATTATTCCTGGGTATTCTTTCACTTATTCCATAAAATGAATGTGCCAGGAACTGTACTAGGCTTTGGAGATACATGTAGAATTTTGTCAAGTTCTACAACAAATTCTAGTGGAAGGATCGTGTTAACATTAAACAGTAATTTGACAAGAATGTGTGTCTTTACTATTAAGTCTTCTCATGCAGATGGATGAAATCACTATTTTTTAGGTTTAATATCCATATCTTTCGTTAACGTCTTGTATCTTACCTCATGTGCTATCTACACTTTTCTTAATAAGTTTATTCCTAGATATTTTGTCATTTTGTTACTGTTGAGTGCAATCATTTTCTATTGTATATTCTAAGTAGTTATTACGAGTATATTGCAAAGCTATTTGATACTTACATATATGTTTGTAACTGTCCACCTTATTAAACTTACTTGCTAGTTTTGATAGATTTTTAGTTGAGTCTCTTGAGTTTTCCAGATAGCCAATCTGAAAAAAAAAAAAAAGTAGTTTCAACTCCTCTTCTCCCATTATTTATGCTTGCTTGCTTTCTTGACTAATTATGTGCTAGCAGTTCTAGAATGATGTGAAATAGTGGCAGTGATAGTGGGCCTCTTTAAAATGGATTCTTTCTAATGTTTCTCTGTAAGGGTATTAAGTATTTTTATCTGAAATAGATGTTGAACATTATCAGATGCCTCGTTGGCCTCTATCAAGATGATTATCAAGTTTTTAATCTTTTGACCTATTGATTTGATCAATTAATACTAATGTATTTTCCAACATCAAACCATTCTTGTAGTTCTGAAATAAACCTTACTCGGTCATGGCATATTATTCTAATATTATTTCTTTTGGCTTTTAATCTAGGATTTTTTTTCTGCACTTGTAAATGTGGTTGTATATAATGTTTTCTTCTTTGTGTTCTATTTGTCAGATTTTGCTATCTGGGTTTCATTAACTTTTTACATAAATTGGGAAGCTTCCCATCGTTTTCTACGCTTGAAACTATTTAAATAGCAAGGAAAATTGCCTCTTTTTACATGGCAGTGTTGAACTTTTGCTAGGCAAAAACGCATTATTGCCAAATAAATCTCTCTCTCTTCTTCTCATTAGCCTCCTGGAGGAACAGTAATCTGTAATGTTTCTTGGAGTCTGTAGTGATTCCTTTCATATCACATTATGGCATAAAATCATAGATTTAAAGCATTCCTCAAATTGCCTTCTCAGAATATAGAAATAGATGCTACTTTTCATATGCTACAAACATGAAAGCCTTTTTCTTTTTCACTAATTATTCTAAATCTGGCAATAGGGTTAACCTTTCTTAACATTTAAAAAAAAATTGGAATATCTTTACTAGTGAATTTTACTCCAATATATTTTTAAGAAAAATTCATCAATGGAGAATATTGAGGATTTTTAATGTAGAAAATTATATCACGATACAGAGGATGGCAGCTAACATGGAGCAAGGTTCCTGTGTGCCAAGCATTTTCTTCTAAGTTGAGTGTTAACATTCATTATCGTATTTAATCCTTGTAACAATGCTTTTGGTTTGATGATCCTCATTTTGTGTAGTAGAAATTGAGACAAGGAGATCATATGATTTACCAAAGCCATGCTGACTGAGTCAGAACTCACACCCAAGTGGGCTGGATTTAGAGCAGAGGATTTAATCACTATACCTGTTACCCCTAACTACCTTTTGCTAACAGCCAATTATACTATCTTTCAGCTTTAAGAGAACTTGAAGCAGCCTATGAAATGAAGAAATATGGCATATTCCCAAGTGATAAAAGCATAGAAGAGGTGCAGTCTTCAATTGATGAAGATGGTAAAGAAATATATGGCTGTTGTTACTGGTAAAATTTTTCCTAATATAAACAGATTAGCTGATAAAGCATATTATTCTTTCATTACAGTGTTTACTCATGAATCCCGGAGAGAAAGCTCTTTAGAGGAGAATGAAGAAGCCAAAATGAAGTCAGGTAATGATAAAGCTGTTAAAATTGATAGAAATGGTAACAAAATGAACTGTTAATGCTATACTTATAGAGCTTATGTCTATTTATTGCATATTTTATCATGTTTATATTGAAGCTTAAAATATTCTCTGCCCAAATTGGAAAGTTCAGGAGAAAAAAGTTAGCTTCTCTCTTACAGGTTTAAACTGAACCGATATAGAACAAAAATAGATTTTCTAGAATGCAGAAGAAAACATAAAAACTGAAAAGGCTAATATGATTAGAACCTCACCAAAATTTTTTAATGTTTCTTAACATGATACAGTCATAATATAATAATATTCTTTCTTTAAAGCTCTCTAATGCCTTTAATGTGTTGGAATACAGGCATCGTAAACCTAGAGTTTTCACTCAAAATATCATCATTTAATGCTATTTACCCTTATAAAATTTTCCATTCATATTTTAACACAATTGAAAGCATACAATGTGAACTTTTTTTACCTTTTTTGATTCATAATATAACATTTAATTATTTTACTTCATTAAGGAGATATTTTAACCCTCATTTTCAATTACTGTATAGTTTCTCTGCTCATAAGTAATAGTTTAAACTTGTTGTTTATGTTGGACACTTAAGTTATTTTTTGGATATTTTTTGCTACTAAAATAATGATTCAATGAAGTTTTTACATAAAGTTTTGTCTACATGTTGATATAAGTAGAGTCACTGGTTATTTAATGAGTATGAAGTTATTGACAGAGTTAGGTTCCTTTGTGTAAAAATTGTTCCAAATTATGTTCCCCTCAGTACTATATAAAGTGTATGTCATGTTTCCTTGGTATTTTGTCTTTAAAAATATTATTTTAATTTTCTTAACTATTTCTGAAGTTTAATATTTTAATATTTGTTAACAATTTATATTTCTCCTTTTCTGAGGTGACCATTTTTCTTTCTTCCATTTTTCTAAATTGTTGTATCAGGTATATGGTTTCTATATAAACTTTCTATATTAGTTTTTTTTTTCATTTATTTTTCATATTCTTTTTCCAAATTGAGTGGTTTCTCCTTTAAAATACTCTATTGTTTTTTGAAGTAAAAGAATTTTTTATATTTTCATGGTCAAATCATTACTTTTCCTTTGTTGATTTCTTCTATTTACTTTTAGACTTAAAAAGTCTTCCTGTAAACCAGAGATTTAATATATACTTATATTCCTTTTTTAATTCATACAACCTTTTTATATTTAGTTTTTAAGTGCATCTATAATTTATTGTGCTAGAGAATATAGAGCTGATGTTTTTATTTGATTCCTCTTCCTGATTCAGACAGATGTGTGCTTGCCCGGTGTTTATTTCAAGCCTAGTAGGTATTGAACTGGGCACTGTCAGAAACTTATGTATGGCACTCTTCCTCCCCGAACATACACACATACACTTCACAGAAGAACCCTGGATATTAAAATTTTGGCCAAATGACATCTGGGAGCCCCATCTCTGCTGCAGCAGAGTTGCCAGTACCAGTACACTAAGAGAGCCCCTCCCCCATGCTGGTCATTAATTTCATTTTTAAAAAATTAGAAACATGAGTCCTGGGTCCTTGGACACATACCATAGCCTTCTTTGGGACTCACCTACAACTTAATACTGTTCTTTGGGTGTTAACAATGTTTTCTTCACAGATGAAGGAGAAACCAGTAAAACGTCTATGTTTAAAAGAAGTGCTCAAGACATTAGTCAAGATCTAAAGTTGGAGTCAAAAAAAGGTAAATTAATATTTGAGTAATTTGGTTCTCTTAAGGTCACAAATAGTTTCTTCAGAATTTTGAAGGTGAAATGTGATTTTTTTTTTTAAAAAAAAAACATTATTAATACCCAAGTTACTCTATCTTAAAGGTTACTCTATTATAAATAGTGGGACATGCAGGGACACAGGAAAAAGAACATGTGATATATTGTTTTTGTGAAAAAGAATATTGAGGAGACAGGAGAACTATCCTTCTGTTCTGTCATCCTGGGCATGTGGCTACCATAACAATTCATAAGATGTGGGGTAAAAGGGGTCAAATACATGGTGACAGAAAGAAATCTAACTAAGGAGGGTGAACATACAATGCAAAATACATAACACTTACTGTTGAATTGTACACTTGAAACTTACTGGATTTCATTAACCAATGTCACCATAATAAAAAATAAATTAATTAATTTAAAGAAAAGAAATGCAAATTAGCATTAACTTTAAAGAGAGCAATGCCTTTTAATATACCAATTCCAGTTTTATATAATCACAACATCATGTATAATAAAAAGATAAGTCATAATTCAAATGGTTAAATGAAGTATGGGACAGTTATTTAAAAAAAAAATTAACAAGGGGGATCCTGGTGCTCCAGCCATCATATCAGGATGCCTAACGGGAAGAGAGAAAAGATAAAGGACAAAGTTGGCACTACCCCCAGCTGAGTTATTCCTCTTTAAAGAGATGACAGGAACTTCCCCTTATCAAAAAAAAAAAAAATTCTGCTGCATCTTATCTATGGGCCATAAAAGCTATAAGGGAAGTTGGAAGATGTGTTTTTAGCTGGGCACATTGCTGACCCCAACAAAATAAGGGAAGAGGAGAATGGATATTGGGTAGAAAACTAGCAGCTTCTAACATATTTAGTATCCTTGCCAGGCAATTTCTGTCTCACCATGCCCCCCTTCTCAAGGCTTCAGGAAGACAGTGAGTTTTGCCTCTTCCACTCTGGTTCTCCAGAAACTGCTGGCTCTCTCCATCGCTCAGAACAGATTTCTCAGTTTAGGGCAGGGAGGGCAGCAAGAAGCTGCTCTTAGAAGGCCCTTTGGGGTTTTTCTGGACTAGGATCCATTGGGATCTGGCAGGAGACCCTGATGGGACAGCAGCTCAGGAAGCACAACAGGAAAGACAGAAGGAGAGGAGTCAGGTGGAGCTGCCACTCTCCTGTCTCATTTACATCATGATGCAACCTGTGAGCCGGCTCAGCCGTGTAAGAAGACATTCAGCATGCAATGAGGGCAGGAATCAAGTGTAACACTTGAGAAACCAGCCTATGTCACCCTTTCTGCTATTCATGCCAACTTCCCTACCTCCCCTCTTACTGTCCCATGTAGTCTCATGCTTGTAATTGAAAGTATTCATCTCATTTGCATACTCATTCCCTAGATGCTCATGTTTTAGCTTGACCTCTGGAATCCTTTGGTCCCTCTCTCTTCTCCCTGACTTCTTGGTTTTTGACTCCTTCCTGCCTCATTTACTTTGATTCTGATGCATTGGCTTTAAGCCACTGCTCTGATATTTTGTAATTCCTGACCTGACATTTCTTCCCTAGTCTATTTCCCCTTTCTTCTAGCATGTGCTACAGTAACACAAAGATAGTACTTTCTTGGGTCAGGTATTAATCATCATGTTCTATTGCCAATAGAATTGTCCACTGAAATTATTAATGGCATTAGTTTATTAACTTATTGTACTTCAAACTCAATAGAAGACTCAATAGAAGAGGTAACTGCAGATCATCCAGAAGTTATTTCCATAATGAAGGAGACTATGAAAACGACAAAGGATATGAACTTTGAACAGCCATATGAAAAACATGCCGAAATCTTAGCAGAAGTCCTGGACGAGGTAAGAAATCAAAGCTGTTCATTTTTATCATTAATTTTAACGGCAACAGAAAATGTTAACCTAGTATATGTAAAATTAATATAGAGTCTCATTTGACAGTATTGAAATCAGTAGCTTTCAAATTTATGTACATTTTATAGTCAACATTGTTCTATGTAATGTGTACCCCAGCTGAACAGTTGCTTATGCTCTGTGGTAAGTTTTCACTTATCAACAATTATGCAATATAATTTCATAGCTTTGAAATTAATTCTTCATTAACTTTTATTGTCTTTAATTCAGTGAAGTTAGTTAAAAGATGGTGCATATGAAGCCAGTACCAAAGTTATATTTTTTATCTATGAGCTAATTAGTTGTAAACCAAGACAAATTTTGCTCTATCGATAATTTTATCCAACCACTCTGAACATGTATTCATAGTAGAGATGGATGGACACACAAATTATTTTCTAATCTGAGGGGGAAATAAAGCCTCAGATATTATGCCCTACTGATGGCAAATCAGAAAGCTTGTTTTTTGTTTATAGAGAACGAGATATCCATATGTGTCTGTTTTGCACAGAGACCTTGAGTAAGCATTTAGAGCAAAGTCAAAGAGAACAAATCAGTTTTAGGCTCTCAATGAACGTCTCCCATATTTCTCTGTAATTTGAAAATGATGCAGTTTGAAATTATTATGTGAGAAGAAAAAAATTATTCTATTAGAACCACTCCGTAACACATTGGGTGGGCTCTTTGAGCCCTCGGCTGTACCCAAGGCGAGTTGCTATCCCCCTCTGAACTTCCAAAAGCGACCTTTCAACTTTCTCTGCATCCCTGTATCCCAGGTTGTTCTGTCATCAGTTTATTCCTTCAGAAACACACTGAGCATTTACTGTTTTCCCTGTACTGTGCTAGATCACAGGGACATCAAGATGAATTAAGCATAGCTCTTTCCTTTAAGGAGTTATCAGTCAGGCGGAGGAAGGCTGACAGATAATCCAATAATTGAGTTATGTGCTAAGTGGTAAGTAGATATGTACAACAAGTGGGAGTTCTACAAAGGTTGGGGCTGTCATCTCTGCCTGGATGGTGAAACAAAGCATCCCACAGACAAAGCAAGTTAGGTGTGTCTTTAGCACTATGAAAGTCCCATCCTTGCCTTTCACTGAAAATTTTCTCCGTTCAGAGTTTATTCAGAGTTTGGAGGGTACAAATCTATATACAGGCAGTACTACTAAAATACTTCTGATAGAGGATTACATGTAGGGTCATTAGATGGTAAACCATCGCTATAAGATTGTAGGGAAGTTTAACATCAAAGCTCATATCAGAGCTTTGTTCTCTGGAGAACAGAAACCTGGGCAGGAGACTGTTTTACCTGTCATCCACTTCTACTCTGTGAATGGGAAACCTATTTTCAAAAAGTCACTAGTTAATTATTAATTTCTTACATATAAAGACAAAATCTTAAGATGTCTTTCTCAAATTATTTATAGATCGATGCAATTCAAATAAAAATCTCAATTTTTTTTGGAAACTGACAGATTAACTCTAACATTGATTTGGAAGAGCTAATAGTTGAGACTGGATAAGAACAGTTTAGGAAAGCTTAATACAGAGAGACTTCCTCTACCAGCTAGTAAAATGTGTCAAAATGCTACAATGGTATATAAACCTGATAGTCACACAAGAATCAACAGCACCACAGAGAAGATACAGAAACAGAGCTTAGTATAGATAAAAGATTCAGGGTATGCTAAAGTTTATATCACAATCCAAAGGGAAGGAAGAATTATTAAAATTATTAATAAAATTAACTATTGGGGAAACCAATTTAGATTGTCACCTTATATCAGACTTTCAGTCGTTTATCTTATAACTACAAGTTTGTACATTTTAACCCCTTTCTTCTATTTTCCTCACTCCTACCCCCACCTCTGGCAACCACCAATCTGTTCTCTGTTTCTATGAGTTCAGTTTTTTTAGATTCCACATATAAATGAAATTATACAGTATTAGTCTTTCTCTGTCTGACTTATGTCATTTACATTTCTTCTCTATAGCTTTCTTTTTTTTACCCCTAATTCTCTTACGTTACACATTTCAAACTGTTTAAAATTCCTTTTTTTTTTTTTCCAAATACTCTTCATTCAGATGGAAATTCATAAAGCAGATAATCTTAAATTCTGTGTAGCTATTGAAGCTATTGCTGTTCAGTGGCGGGTGGGAGTGGAGTTTAGCAGAACTCATTAAGCCCCTGCAAGATTTGTTTATACACAATTCCCTCCACAGCCGTTAGTAAGCATCTCAGCACCTCTCAGCTCTCTTACTGAGGGATAAAAGCAAAAGAGAAGTGAAGAGTGTCGTCACTAGAAAAGGCGAGCTGGAATAGGACCTTGCTACTCAAAGAGCGATCCATAGACGTCATCACCTGAGAGCATGTTAGAAACAGACTCTCAGGCCTCACCCCAGACCTTCTGAATTAGGACAAAAAATGTGTTGTTATATTTATTTAATAAAGGTTTTTCTTTCCCATTCTCAATTTTAAAACTTATAGCTTTCTTGCTTTAGTTTCTCTTTTGAAATTAAATGGCTTTTTTTTCTTCTCCTGAAAAGTCAGCAGAACTCAGAAGACAGTTGGTTAAGGTTCACAAAAATTATATATTAAGGTAGCACCCTTGACTTTTCTAGCTACAATGGTAATATCAATGTGTCATTTTCACAGGTAATTGAAGAAAACAAAAACAGGTTTCCTGGTGCCCCAAAATATGGAGGATGGATACTGGACAACTGCCCTGCTGTAAAAGAACTGTGGACAGTCTTGGTTGAGAAAGGAATTACACCAGATTTAGTAATCTGTTTATCAAATACAGAAAACAATGGTTGGTAAATATTTATCTTGTGAATTCGAAAGTGAAATTTTTATTGCTGATAATATTTTCAGTTAAAATATAAAATGGAAAACTCCCCACCCTGCCTAGGTACAAATACTACCCCAGCAATCCCTTCTCAGCCTAGAGGTACACATAATGAGGCATCCACCCAATGAGTAAGCGGCTCGGGTAGTGTGCTGGATTGCTAGATGTCCCAACAGGCCCTTACAATTATTCTGTGGAGCTGAAAATTAACACCCCCTCCCAATCAGCACTTTAACTTCTAAATCATATATATAAGACCGAGGGCAAAGACTATATGTTAGTCTTTCTTCACCTCAAATGGGAAATATTAAGTACATACAGATAGCAGAACTAAATTTTAATAATTCTGTCACTTTGTACAAAGCTGTAATAATCAAGACCAACAGAACAGAATGGAGACCCCAGAAATAAACCACCACATATAAATATAACCCCCACATGTAAACCCCCACAAAGATTAGGTTAACTAATCTTTGACAAGAGGGCTAAGAATATTCTGTCATTTTTGCCTCCTGGGGAAATATATTCGAAAAGAGTTTCCAACGGAGGGAACAATAATGTACTGCCTGTTTTCATGTTTTAGTTATTTATATCATGCCAATATATACTTTTTAAAAAAGATTTAAGATGGTCTGTTAATATTTTAAAGATTCTGGGCTCTATTTAGATAAGCGCTTAAAGAAAAATATATTTGGATATAAGCAGAATTAAGTTTTTATTGTTAATTTCAAAAAATATATCTCACTATATTTTATATAGCTTCAAAAGTAATATTATTCTCTTTATATTTCAGGAAAATATTTACTCAATAGGCTGTATTTAGAGAATAAACCTGATATTGACTCTAAGATATATGAAAGATTATTAGATGAACTACAAAGGAAAAAAAAAGAGGAAGAAGCAACAAGGTAAAATCTGCCTGACATAGTATAACAGGTTAATAAATCTCTTATGAAGCAGTTAAGTATCTACTTATATTTATATTTATGAACTTATATTTATGAACTCTCTTTAATATCAGAACTTATATTTATGAACTCTCTGTAATATCAGAACGGTGATCTAACTGATCCCATTCTAATTGATTCTAAGAAAAACAGTAATTTCACAAATACTTCTAGAATCTCTAAAGTACAGATTTGTGATGTTTTCATGGTCCCAAATCAAACTTATTCTAAATCCCACATCCACACTCAAGGGACAGTATCAAAATGAGCACAGATAAGATTTTTTTTCTCTTTACCATATTTATCTGTAACTTCAATCATTTTGCTAACTAGAATCCACAAATTTAAGGAATAATATGATAAAAAGTAAATGAAAATACACTTGTGTAATATGACTAAAATCCAAAGCCTGACTAAGTTCTATATAAGGAAAGGACAAGACTAGTTATTTACCATATTCACAGGTTTAATGTCGAGAGTTTATTCTCCAATCTGGGTGCAATGAAGAAGTTTTAAAAATGTGAGCACATATCTATCTCTTTGTGACTGAGGTCAAGACTAGATTTAATAAACTATCAAGTTCTCAGAATGGGGAATAAAGTATAAAGAGAAATAGTAACTTAACTTGCTAATTGTTCTTCCTTGCTAAAACATGTTGTTAGATACTTTAAATTTTCGTTTGTCTGCTGGGATTTCTACTTCCCGAAGTGATAAAAGGCAGGACATTTAAGACCTAAACTTCTTTATGTTAATCTACTAAACCTCCTACAATTAATGATGGCACCTGTAGGAGCTTTCTCAAATGCCGTTTCCTTTTCCCCTTCAGATATTAACAATTTGAGCTTGGATTTAGGAGCACTCTTTAAACTCTGGAAATTATGACACCAATATCTGGGTTACTGGGGGAGTTGGGGACAGATAACTGATAAGTGTGTGTCAGAGGATTTTTTTTTCAGCGTTCATTATTCATCGAAGTTTGCCATTTCTTTAGGGACTTAATACAAAAATATACAAAGTATTAATTTAGTTAGATGAATTAATGAAATTGTTTTTTATTTTGACTAAAAATGTTATTAATTCAGATAATAATACGAACTGATTATATTTGTTTTTAGCTTTTAACAGTTTTGTCACAAGGGCTACAATCCGCTAGGATTTAAGGGATTACCTAGGTTTTTTTCCAGTGTATGAGAAATAGTCAAGTATTTGAGAAAAGATGAAGATATTGACATAAGAGTAAAACGCAGTTCATGTGCTTTCTAGACCAAAAGTCTGCTACATTTTAAATAGATTAAAAATACATACATCTATAACTTTTTTAAAAGGAAAAAGAGATCTTGTCCATTTTTCTCCCAACTCTCTACCTTCACCTTCCTTTTATCACATAGAATTTTCTGAGCTATCTCTATATTCAATTTTTACTTTTGATTCTAAATTTTTATATCTTTATAAACTTCTTAATGTCAAAGATTTGCTCAGATTAAAGCAGGCTTTTCTACATGTCTATATGTTGCCTTTTAAATTCAACATGAGCATTTCAAAACAAACTTTTTTTTCATCTACTGCGGAAAATGAAATCTGAAACAGAACCAAAAAAAAAAAAAAAATGGTCAGAGACTCATTTATTTAAAGGCCTTGCAGCTTGGTTAGAAAAGACATGAACTTAACATAATTAAGAATTCCATCTTGGGCCAAATTGTCTGAAGACACACTGAATTCTACAGCTTTTCCAGCGTCATTTTTCAAATGTGCCAGTCAAATGCAGGGTAATTTCTGTCATAACTGTTAGTCTTTGACTTGTCTATCCAAGTGTCTAAAAATTGGCAGCAGAATTCTTCCTCATTCTTGTCAGGTTTAGATTCTTAGCAGCAGCATACATTATCCAGGTTTTGGATAAGGGTAGTCTCACAAAAGAGCCCTGTATGAACTGACAATTCACACACAATTAAAATGGGGAAGGAAGGTGTTCAGAAACAATATCCAGTGATATCAGAGGTCTGATCACAGAGAACTCAAACTACATCAAGACTTTAGGCTGGATCACAGGATTTGGAATACAGAGAGAGAACACCTCATTTGAACAAGAAACACACCTGTTGGGAGAAGAGATCTGGTAATGTCTTTTGAAGAGAATGTATGTAACTAGATTTTCAAAGGAAGGGGGGAAAGGGCACAAAGAACGTTGAATATAAGAAAATTTCAGGCCTATAGGGAAGACTGTCCCAAATGTGCTATTGTTATGAATGAGCTCTGCTTTACTTAACTAGTCCCCTGTTGGTGAATATTTGGTACAGTTTTTTTGGTATTTTGTTTTAAAGGTGCAATATTTTAAAAAGATTGCAACATTCTTATACAATAGTAGGCCAACTCCTGAGGGCTAAATTCCTAGAAATAGAATTTTGAGGTCAAAAGTATACACATTTTAATTTTTAATAAATATTGCCTTTATCCATCATTTTATTAAATTCCCTTATACATTTATTCACCATTAAGGCAGGTTTAGTGCTACAACCCTAATGAAAAACAGATTCCCTCCAGATGTTTTAAGTTTCCATATTCCAGGTCTCTTTAAATTTCACTATTACTGTGTTAAAAAGAAAGTAAATCAGAAAATAACTGTTTTGATTACAAGATAAGTTTATAAATTTTCTATTTATTCACATTTTAAAAATGCAAAAAAATTAAATAAAATTAAAAACTCTTATAATGCCATTATCCAGAGATAATTACTATCAACAATTTGATTAGTTCTCCTCTAGTCTTTTAATTGTCATTTATATACATTTTAAATACAAAATTAAATCCATATTATACATAGTTTTATATTATAATTTTTTTCACTTAACATTGTGAACATTTCTCATTTAATCAAAAGGGAAAATGGTACAATTTCTCCCATTCGCCTTTTCAACTTGGAGTTAGACAATCTTTTATTAATTTTGACAGACTTCCTAATTAATAGTCAAAGTTTTTCAAAGTGCAACATTCCAACTTTTCTTCCAAAAAAAAAAAAATGCTCTGAAAATTAATTGACCTCAATATGAGTAAATTAAACATTTACATTGTAAAATAAAAAGTATAAGGAATATTATGAACAATGTACTCTATTTTTACCACTATAAGCCTTAAATCCTATAATCTTGTGAAGTGTCCAAATTTCCAAAGATAATTAAACTTTGGTCTTTTTTTTTCATTTCAGAAAAGCCAAAGAAGAGGCACTGAGAATAGAAGAAGAAAATCAAAGGCTACTGGAAGCTATGAATGCGAAAGCAAAAGGCAAACACAGATTAATATGACTAACATGTCATTTAATTTTGTACTGGTACTGCAAGCTGCTGTAGTATTTCAGTGAATTATAGACAGGGTGACCATATTTCTCTATTTGCCCACTAGAGTCCAGATTTATGGCTATGGTTTTGAAGTATTTCTTTGACCCCCTTTTATTCTCAAAGTGTTCCAACTTGGACAACAAATTATATGGTCACTGTAGTTATGGATTCATAGGGAAAAGACTCCTGACACAGATACTTACTCATGCACCCTCTAAGAGGGGAACACAGCGGGACAACATGTGCGGCATGTCTTAAAAATGATTGCCTTTGTCAAAGATGACATGTGGCTATTGGGATTACTTCTATTGAAGGATTCTGCACTTAAACTTCCACTGCTGAAGAACTTGCTCCAAAAGTTGCTTTTAAGACTGGAGTTCTTAGCCTGAGGTCCATGAATAAAATTCAGGGGTCTGTGAAATTGAATGAGAAAATAGTTACAAATTTATTTTAGCTAACCTTTAACTGAAATTTAGATTTTCCTTCAACTAGTAATTAATATAGGTTTAAAAACTCAACAATTATATTAGCAGTAATTTAACTTTGTCACCAATAGAAATGAAGATATTTTTATATCATATTACAGTTTTATATATCTTATTTATGCTTATCACTATTCCCAAATTATGGTAGTTATTAAACCAGCTGCTAGTTCTTGTTATTCAATATATGAGTAAAAATGCACGAATTTCCTACAGCACAAAAATTTTTTTGATACCTTGATGACTGTATTTCAGTATAATTGGCTTCTTACATATTTTATTTTATGAGATTGAAATCATTATTATAAGTAGGGTCCATGAGTTTCACCAGACTGCCAAAAGGGCCCATGGCTCAAAAAAGTAAAAAATATTTGTTTCAGTTTTCATTGCTGTGCCAAAGGCCACCCGGAAACTATAAAAACAACCATCATTTTTATTATGCACAGAATTCTATGGATTAGAACTCTGGACAATTTGAGTTTCTTGTGAAGAGCACATAACTTCATCCCAAACCCTAGTATGATTCAGCAAATGTTGCTTGTCATCGTAAAATTCTCCACATAACACAAAAGATTCACCACATTCCAAGTCATCTACTTGGAAGCCACATGCTACATGCTCTGCAGTCCTGGTCAGAGCTCAAGATATAGGGACACTTTAGGATACTTTTCTTAGGTGCTTAGTCACCCAGATTTAGATTTAAAACAAAACAAAACAAATCACTAGAATGTGATTCTTGGAAGGTACTGGGGGAAGGAATTCCCACAAGAATCCAGAAAACAAGCTTATTTATTTCTTTTTATTATCTTTGCATATAAATACTTTGTTTTTCAATCCATTTCAGAGATATATTAAAGGGGCATTGGATTTTCTGACACCACCATTCACCCCATCTTTTTCCCAAAAGACCTCTATGCATATATATTTCTATCAGTGGCCATCAGCAACTATGGAAAACTTGGAGTTAAGCTTTTTAAATTTTCATTTAACATGTTCATCAACATACTTTATTATTAGTTATTAGCTATAAGAAAATATAGTCTAGCCCAGTGCTTCCCAATAGAAATATAATGCAAGCCACATATGTAACTGTAATTTTTTTAGTAGCCACATAGAAAATAAAAAACAGGTGAGATTAATTATATTTTATTTAAAATGCTATATCCGAAATGCTATTTTGAAATGTAATCAGTGCAAAAATTATTGATGTATTTTACATTCAATTTTTCCTGCTAAATTGTTGAATTCCATGTGTATTTTATGCTTACAGCACTTCTCAGATTAGACCAGCCACATTTCGAATGCTCAACAATCACATGTGGCTACTGGCTACACATCAGCCACTGCAGGTCTAGCCATTCTTTTATTGAATGGACAGTGGGGCTGTTTCCAGTTTCTTACTGTTATGATATTTGGGACTGCTGTAAACAATTCCTCTTTTCAATGAACCCTTAGGCTAGTGCTCCTATAACACTGAGCGCATGACTGTAATCCTTTACCTACCACTATATTTTAATGGGTAAAATATGTAGATAATATATCTCTCTCCCTTATTAAATCCCATGCTCCAAGAGGGTTTGTTTCATTCTCAGCATTTTTCAGACTGCCTGGCACACAATTCAATATTTGCTGACCTAATCTGAATGATAATTTATTTCTTCTCATCTTTTCTAGAAGTGGAAGAGACTGAACCTGAGGCTGAAGAAGAGTTTGAAGCTGATGAGACTGATGTTCCTGAAGGGTCTGAGGCCCATGAGATGGCCGAGGAGACCGGGGCGCTCTTACCTGAGGAGTCTGAAGCGACCGAGGTCCCTGAAAGAGAACCCGAATCAGGTTAGACTTTGTTGACAGCCGTGTCCTTAATTCTACTCAGATCTGTTGATGTGTTTGTGTGCTCATACGTGTGTATGCGTGTTTATATGTTAATAAAATGGAAGCAGGCTAAGGATGGAAAGACGATCCTCTGGAATGCAGCCATTTAGTCCAAATCACATAATTTAGAGTGTGGTAGGAAAGCAAATTCTGCGCTGCCCTTCTTGGTGCTCAGGAACAGGGCCAGCTATGTCATTTGTGGTGCACACTATTCAAAAACCAGGAAAAGGTGCCATTAAAGGTACTATAATATAAAGCGCTTTCTTTTCTTCCATAATCGCTCTTGGCTTGTTATGGTTTGCCTTTTATTTCCTATTTAGTGTCATTAGGAATAAAGAAAAATCAAAAATGTAAATTATTAGCATGAATTTTACCATTCATCTTTATGTTATACAGTCCCATTTTTAAATGAAAATATAAGAGCATTTCACTCATATGCAGAATCAATGAAATTATACAATTTGTATCTCGCAGCTCATACATACATATGTATTTCATTCTTACCAGAATACTAAGTCAGTTTTGTGCACAAAACTAATGCAGCTTTTTATTTTACTTCTTAATATGCACATATTCTACCAAAACTCTCTACCTTTGGCTTACTAATGATTAAGGAAAGACTGAAAGGAAAAAGAACACTGGCTTGGCCTGAATTTCCCTTTCCTTCTATGTCATCATTTTCATCCTAAGTATTTAACTACTACAGGAAAGTAACATGAGAAAGAAAGGACATGATGGGGTTCCTTGGTCATTCATGTCCCTCTGCTGTCATCTTCCTTCTGCATCAGAAGCAAGTTGTAGTTCAAAGGAAAAACATGGTCTCTCAGGACTGTCAGCATCTTCCCCTGCCTGCAGTCACCATTCAGTCACACTTACTCCCACACATCACAGGTCCCCTGGAATTCTGTACTCATGATGGGGCATCGGGAACTCTCATGAGAATGAGATGGCAAGGACTGGCAAACACATATTGTGCATATCTCTGCTCATATGCATGCCCTCTTGTCCCTCCGGAGTTCCTTTGGATTTTGCTTACAAAACACAGTTCAAAGATAAAGTTATTAAAAATTACGAATTGACAATCAAAGATCATTAAACTAAATGTGAGGCCATTCTGAGTGATGCGCAACCACACAATTCACATACACATGAAGCCAGCCCTGCTACAGGGATGTAGTTTGGAGGGTTGGGGTAGGGCAGGAAGGAATCTGTAGGCAATGAAAGTCACTCTTAGGACTGGATAGTAGGCTTAAAGCAACAAGACAGGGTACCCACCATAGTGGGAGTGCGGCTTGCAAATGCTTCCAAGCACAGTTCGTATTGGATTAGAAACTAATACTACAAACTAAAGGTCTTCACATACCTGCAGCCAGATGCCAGCCTGGGGCAGTTAAGAGCTGGGAGCCTGTTGTTAGCTGGGAAAAGAACCAGGACTAAGGGGAATTTTCACACTGAGAAATCTCAAGTTCAACACAAATAAATTTTTACTACAGGGGTTGGTATTAGCTCTATGGGGCAATAAATATAAAATCAGATTCCCTTGTGCCAGACAGAGGAATTAGCAGAATGTAATATCCAATTGCCTTTTAAGAGTCCCACACCTCTGCTGACTTGTGCTCCTACCCAGAAACTTCATTATTTTATCTAGTCCAAAACTGATTAGGCTGACAATTCTCCCACCCACCTAACTTTTCCAAGGAGACAGCCGATAAAATATCAAAAGAAGTAAAATAAAATGACATCCATTAAATAAATATGACACATCAAACATATCCCCAGAGTTCCAGTATCCACAGTATCTCACAATTAGTGTTTACTAGTATGACAGATCTAGGGGACAATTTAGTTTTATTGCCTTTTATCCTTACCGTTTCTCCCAGGGAACTTCCTTTGAATGTTCTAAAGCCAGCCTCCTACTCCGTTTAGGACCAGTTCTAGTTCAGTGCTGTACACATGACTGTTATCACTTAGAATTGTATGTATCATGTGTGTATCATTATTCTGGTCAATGTCTTTTAGTATATTTAAGAATATTCTTTATTTTCTTCTTTATACTATTAGGGGTTTTTATGCCATACTTTATCTAACAAGAACTGTATTTTCAGATAGACGTAATATATACAATTTAAATTGTTTTGAAATTTTTTTATGCCAAAACTTTAATAAAGGAACTATGTTTTAAAATTCATACACTAACTATTAGATTTCTTTTTTTAAGTATCTGAGACTACTGAAGAAACTACAGTCGTAACAGAAATTCCAAAAGAATCCAAAGACGACCTGGAAACTAAATTATCTGAAACAGGTTAGCTTACAAAATAAAAGTAGTTAGTGTATAAAAGTGCTTTTCATACTCTCCTGGCAAGAGGTCTAGTCTCTTATTTTAGTCATAGTACCAACATAGTACCAACTACTTATGTCTTTCTATGTTGTATGCCTGTCGATGCATTTATTTAGCTTGTTATATTAAAAGTGTATCTGGTCAGCTTATAACACTTTTTCAACAAATTTTATCTTATACCTTTTATGAACAGGTAAAGTTGCCATATGCAATGCATATTGATTATCCAAATAAGTTTATTAATAAGTACTACTTCATCTATAGCCAATATAAGAATGAAGCATAATTAAAATATAAATTTATAAGTATACATCATTGCTTAGAACACTAAGTTTATTTCTTTGAAACGTTCTTAAAATATTATAAGATACAAATTATTTAGGGAATATGTCTAAAGATACCATCTTTGAAACCTCTTTTTTCTTTCCTTTAACCTTTACTCAAAAGTTGTACTACCCGAGTTTCCAGAAGATGCTTATCCTGATGTTCCTGAAATGGACCCAATTAAAGAGAAGATTAAATCCTTCAGCTACATCTGGAAATACCTGGAAATGGCAATTGTTGAGTCTTTCGTTCAAGTTCTCAACTTGGAGATTGCTGACAAAACGCCGGAGCAACTACTTCAAAAAGTAGTTGAGACTATGGAAAGTAAGGGTTGCAGTCCTAACATTGACTCTCAAGAGCAGGTAATATTATTAAAAGCACTGTGAAAGCTTAAAGGCTTTCTTGATGGCCCATTAAGTAAAACATTCAACATATCCAGGTATGATGTTTAAAATATTTAACAACTCTCATAGCACAGGCACCCAGCAATCAGAACAGCCACGGAGCACAAACAGCACTGGCCAAACTGGCCAGTCATCACTCAAAGAATTTGTAAAGGCTGATTTGCAGACACATCTAAACAAAGACATCATTATTATGATTACTTTTCCTAATCTTTGACTATGGTAATAAGCTAATATCATTTTATTGTAAAAATATCTTCCCAAATATTTCTTCTTCTTTTTTTTTTATTACAGAACCTTTCCAGTATGCTGGGTGGGAGTTAAATATAGATGATTATGATGAAGAAACAGAAGACTATCAGGCTGAAGCGGAAGTCGATGAGGATTTAGAAGAGGAGGAAGAGGAAGAGGAAGAAGTAAGAGTCTTCTATTACTGCTTCTTCACATTGGTCACCTCATTGAAAGTGGACATATCCAGGGTCGTAACTAGCACTCTTAGATGTCAAGAAAACAAGCAGGCATCCTCCATTTTATAAATACACATTTTCAACACACTTTGCCTCCACCCCAGCTTCCCTTGATTCTTGAAATGCCAGGGCTGTTTAGATGGTATGTTACACCCATGAAAAAAAAGAAAAGGAAATCTTTTAAATTTCTTTTCATGGAAAAATCTATAGGTATTAGAGACAGGAATATTTTATAAATTTAACAGAAGTGAGTGTTTTATGTAAAATACAGCCATGGTATCTTTGAGGGGCTGCTTACGTGATAATAATGAGTAGTATCTTCAAACAGGAATAACGTGTTTTAAGTGCCAATCTACTCCCTTAGCACCAGAATTTTGATAAACATTCTCAATTGATAGCTACCCAATTCAGTCATCTATCAATAATAAAATAGAAAGTGATTCTTCTCATTTTGGGCTTTATCAATGAACAAAATAATGTATTAAGTTAGATAAACATAACAGTTGTAATTGACTTAAACCCAGATATATGTGTATCAAACAACAAATGTTATGTAGTGTGATTCTGGTAACAACTTTCATTTCTTTATCACTGAGAAACTGCTGAGACCTTCAGTCAGGGTGACTAACAGCTGTGGGTTTTGCCCTATATTCAGATTCTCTTATTTCAATCATCCTTCTGCCATTCTTCTGTGTCCTGTTCTGATCTACAAGAGAATGGTCTCGTGCTTATATCTGCAGACAATTCCCAGGCTGTCTGTAATATTGCAAACTTATATTTGTAAGTATGGTCTTCATTGATAATATAGTGTCTTTTCTTGCCTTCCACTCTTCCTAATTTACTACGAGTCAGTTTTACCTGCTGTATTAGCGTCCTAAGGCTGCCATAACAAAGTACCACAAACTAGAAGGCTTACAATAACAGCAATTAATTCTCTCATGACTCTCAAAGCCAGAATTCTGAAATCAAGGTGTCAGTAGGGCCATTCTTCCTCCAAAGGCTCTAGGGAAAATCTCTCCTTTCCTGGCTCCAGATAGTCCCTGGCTTGTAGCCACTTAACTCCAATCTCTGCCTCTGTCTGAACATGGCCTTCTTCTCTTCTGTATCTTCTTCTCTTACAAGAACACTTGTCATTGAGTTTAAGGACCACCCAGATAAATGAATGGTGATATATCATCTTGAGATCCTTAATTACATCTACAAAGATGCTTTTTCCAAATAAGGAAGATATGGCTGCCAGAAATTCTGGAAGCCCATCTTCAGAAATTTTGATCTAGGAAGAAAAAGAGCCCTCTATCTTTACATTCACTTGGAAAAATAACGAGAAAGAACTTTCTTTCTCCCAGCCCAGTCAGTTGTCCTGACTAAACACAGTAACTAGAAGACTTAGTATGTATTGAACCAACCTCAGCCATATGCCCACCCAATGACTATGAGTTGGAGTGTTACTGTGATTGTCTGGTCCACTTGAGCTCCTTGGAATATGAAAGAAGCAGTTTCTCCATGAGAAGAGGGAGAAAGATTATGTTTCTAGAAAAGGGGAAGAAAGATGCTATACAGACAAAAGCAAAAGGTAATATGCTACATCATAAGAAAAATTCTAGGAAGATATATACTAAAATGTTAACAGTCTTTCTGGGCAAGATGGAATAAAAAAGATCAGGTTTACTGTCCTGCTCCAAAACACTGAAAAGCAAGATGAAGTATATGAAATAGTTTCCAAGACATTGACAAGAGGCAGTGAAGCACAGTGGGCTCAGAGAGATGGGATGCAAATGAGGTGCACCCTATGACTTCCCCAGCTTACTATCTATAAGGTCATGTCCCTTGCCTAGGCCATGGTTCAGGGAAGGGGGACCCAGGCAGAGCCTGACCAACTCCTTGATAGGAGGAGACAGAGCAGAGAATCCCAGGGTACCAAATTAGCTAGAGTTCACAGGGAAGAGACCAGAGAGAAGAGAAGTGTGTAGAGAAAGAACTCCAGAGAACTGTAGAGCAGAGTACTGACCAGTTTTGCATGTAAGAATACTGTTCAGGGCCAGGAGAAGTACTACCTGATGAGATTAGAGGGACAGTGCTTGGATCTCACACAGGCCAGAAACAATGCCTGTCCCTACTAACCGGACTGAAAAAACCTCACAATTTACAGGGCATTGGGTAGAGTACTAAAAAGGGTCTAGCCTCAGGAATGGAGATAATTAAACCTGGACTATTATGCAGCAAAAAAATATAAATAAATAAAAGAGCTGCTGATACATACATGCAACAACTTGGATGAATCTCAAAATAATTAGAAGCCAGGCAAAGAAGAAGCCAGGCAAAAGAAAAAATATACTGTATGATTACATTTGTATAAAATTCTAGAAAAAAAACAAACTAATTATAGTGACAGAGAGCAGAGCATTGGTTGCCCAGGGGTTAGTTAGGTGGGAGACAAATAGGGTCAGGAAGGAGGAATTACAAAGAGGCATGAGCAAACTGTGGTATTGATGAATGTGTTCATTATCTTGACTGTGGTGATGGTTTCATAGATGAACACACATGTCAAAACTTATCAAATTACATACTTTGAATATGTACTATGTTTTAATGTCAATTATACTTCAGTCAGGCTGTTAAAAGTGTTAATGGTGGTTATTATCACCATTATCTTTGAGTGATAGACGTACAAGTAATGTTTATTTTTTTAATTAATTAATCCTTGCCTCTCCTCCACCTCTTCTTCTTTGTCCATCCGTAATACGTATCACTGGTTAGGTCTGTTAGATCTATCCTCCAAATATCTTATCTTTTTACTCATATTTTCCAACTCTTTATATTTCGTTCATATACTTAAAAATATGTCTTTCTAATCTTCTAATACAGACATTAATTGTGGTCTTCTAGAGTAGTATATTAGTTTCCTGTATGTACATATTTTTTTAATTTCAGGTGTTTATATTTTTTAAATTTCAAGTGTTTATACTTTCAAGAAGTATTATCCTTCTAGGGTCAATTTTTTTTGTTTTATTGCATTGTGATCAGACACCACCATCTGTTAGATTTTCTTTCTAAATGCAAATGAGTTAAATAAGAAATTAAAAATGGAACTACAGACTATTTAAAAATTAATGATAAGTAAAAGATCATATATAAAAGCTTTGTTGCATAGCAGAAGTAGAAATTAGAGTTACCAGACTAAAAATTTTAATTTCAGATAAATGAATAATTTTTATGTAAGGTTCATGTTTATGTATGCTACATATTAGGAACTTATTTTTTATCTGACATTGAAATATAACTGGAGAGCCTGCATTTTTATTTGCTAAGTCTGGCAACCATACTTTAAGTCTATTTATTAAAAAACAAGAAAGACTGGGAAAGTTAATTAAGCATTCAACTCAAGAACCTAGGGAAAAAAGCACAACAAAATCAAGCAAAAGAAAGTCAAAAGCAGAAGATTAAAGGCAAAAATTAATGAAATAGGAAAACAAAACCAAATAAAAATAATAGACCTAATTTCAAAAAATGAAAAGTTGGTTCACTAACAAGAGCAATAAAATAGACAAACTTCTGACAAGTTGAAGAAGCAAATAACATTTGAAACAAAAATGTACTGGGATGTAATCAGATAAAAAAAGAGGGTTGTTTTAAATTACAGGAATTTTATGCTAATACATTTTAAAGTCAAGATGAAAAGGATTTTCAAAATATGAATTGCTAAAATTTGCCTAGGAACAAAGAAAGATAAAAACTGAACCAATAAAAATAATAGAGGAGAGTTTTAGGATCTTTTTTAATATACCTTCATTGATTAGATAATTTCTATGTTATTTAAACTCTTCCACATCATCGAAATATATTAGTACTTCCCAGGTCATTATGAAGCTTGCATAATCCTAATATACAAAAACTGAATAAGAGTGGTGTAAGATAAGAGTCACGGGGATGCAAAGTATAGCATAGGGAATATATTTAATAATACTGTAATAACTATGTATGTTGTCAGCTGGGTACTAGATTTATCAGGATGATCACTTTGTAAGTTATATAAATGTCTAATCATGTGAAACTAATATAATAGTTGTACACTTGAAACTAATATAATAGTGTATGTCAACTGTAATTGAAAAAATCAATCGTAATTTTAAAAATTTTAAAAAGAGTGGTGCAAGAAAAGTGGAGATTAGTCTCATTTCCACACCTTTAAAGAAAGTTATTCATTATATCTTGTTTTGGGGAAAAGAAAATAACCATGTAAAATATTAGTCCATTGGTATTTTTAAAAATAACATATTTGTTCCTAAATATGAATCTATTTTTGTATGTATATTAGTAGGACATACTTAGGGAAAAGGGTCTGGAAAGATACACATCAAGGCATGAAGAGTGCTAGTGTAATATTGGAAGGGAAAAGGTGAGAGGAAATTTTCATTCTTTATGCATTGTGATGTGTTTTGAATACTTTTATAATAAGCATGTATTTTATGATAGAAAATTATTTTTTTAAATGTACTTCCACTGCTTTAAATAAATTGCAAGAATTCTTAAAAGCTTTACCCATAGGTTCTTTATTTTTCTCAAATGAAAATATAGTACACATTTCAGGTAGAATAGAATAAAATATTTCCATATTTTTTGATTACATATCCACTTGGTAGGAAACAAAGTAAATCCTGAAGCATCTTCTATCTCATTTCAGTGGGTAAGAAGTTGTGACTCTGACTCAGCTTTTACTTCTTGGGAATAGTATTATTTTAGAAACTGACCCTGCACCTGCACATTCTGGGGTTTTTCATTACAGCTATGCCTGTAGAAGGCTGAGAACACCTTGATTCTGAGGGCTGCTTTATTTTCTTTATGAAAATAGAAGAATATAAATTTCTTTATTTTCTTTATGAAGAACTGGCCTTTACAAATTGTTATAAAAGTGTATTGTTATGGGTTAAATATTATTCGAGACATTTTTTAAAAATTCTTTCTTTAGTATTGCATCAAAATACTTTTAAAAATATTCCCCAAATGTTAAATAATATTTCTAGAATGAAGAAAGAATAAAAGAGAAGAAAAGGCATCTGGGAGATACAAAGCACTTTTGTCCCGTGGTTCTCAAAGAAAACTTCATCTTACAACCAGGCAACACAGACGAAGCAGCTAAATATCGAGAAAAGATCTACTACTTTTCAAGTCCTGAAGCTAAAGAAAAATTTTTGGAGCATCCTCAGGAGTACGTGGCTCATACAGAACCATTAAAGGTGAAAACCATATTCTCATCCTTATGATTTCTCTGCTCCTGCGTACTTTTTTAGGGACTTAGTACATCCATATTTTACTTAATAGTGAAGTCCCCTGTCTGGTATAATAATATAGTGAAAATATCTAAGTTTCCAGAACAACTTTTTGGAATATAACCTAAAATAATTATCTCTTTTGATTTCTATAGTAATGCCTGTGTCAAACCAACACTTAGTATCTCTCTCATTAGCTGAAATGAAAAGACACAGCTAAATTTATTGCTTATAAATTTATTGTATTTATTTTATTCCTTAACCAGCTGTGCTGGTTAGTGTCTCTGAGCGGAGTGGTCTATTGACCCTAAGATGGGATTCAGGGGTTGGTGGCCTTTTAGTAGGTTGACATCATCTGAGGACATATGATTGCTCAGGTGAGACTGCTGTTGACCTAGTCCACACTCGGAGGCGTGATTATAGGGGCAAGTCCATGCCTGATTTTTTGATTCTCAAGAGCCAGGGCTGACACTGATTCAAAAGATTGCAAAAGAATGTTTCCTGAGGTGTTGTCTTTGGTCAATTAACTGTTTTAAAACTCGTTCGAGTAGCTATAGAACGACCAAACTTTTTCTAAGTTTGTGGGAACGTTTTTTTATCCTTACTTGTTGATCATCATTGAAACAGTTTTCTACCTTCTTTAAAAAATATTCATTACAGCCAGACATAAAAGAACAAATACTATATGATTTGACTTATACAAGGTAACTAAAATAGTGGTTGCCAGGATCTGGGAGGAGGGGAGAATGGAAGTCTGTTGTTTAATGGATACAGAATTCTAGTTTGAGCTGATGAAAAAGTTATGGAGAGAGATAGTGGTGATGGTTGTATAACATTGCAAATGCACTTAATGTCACTGAATTGTACACTTAAAAATGGTTAAAATGTCTTCAAGTTTTTTCGTTATGTGTATTTTACCACAATTGCAATATTTTATTTATTTTTTAAACAAAGCACACACATAATGCACCAGCTTTAGACAGTCTGTATTTTAATTTTTTACTTTCTCATCCTCTTGCACATGAGTATATATTCTTTCTAGTGTATGTAATATTTTGTAATCTTTTTTCATTAAACAATATCATAGAAAGTTGATGTATTTCTGCATAGATCTTACAAATGCTTGATCATTTTAACATATTGCATTAGTATAAGTAATCATTAGACTTTCTTACCATGCTAAAAAAAGGATTTTTCTATTCTATTTTAGTTAAAACTTAAAAAAAAAACTAAACTAATTTTATCAAATGTGGCACATGATAACAAGATGATCTTATGATTGTTGATGTTCTCTTGGGACTATTGCTGATGTAATGGATCATGTTCATTGATCTCCTAATGTCGAAACATCCTTGAGTTTGTGAAGTGACCATTGTCTTAGGAGGAGTAGTTATTAGCTTTATTTTTTTTCCAAATTACTCAAAATTTCCTTTCTTTCACTTTCCCTTACCTCATCTCTCCTTACCCGCCCCCCATGGCAGGCTCCTCCATTAAGGATATGCCTTCTAGGCCCCCATGGCTCTGGCAAAACTATCTGTGGAAGACAATTGGCAGAAAAATTTGGCATTTTTCACATTCAGTTTGAAGAATTTCTTCAAGAAAAACTAATGCTCAAAACTGAAAAGAAAATTGGACCTGAATTTGAGGAAGATGCTGAGGAAGAACAACTTATAAAACAAGAACTTGAAGAGCTTGCAATTCAGGCTAATGTCACGATTGAGAAAGAAATTACAAAGAAGCTGGTAGTAATATTAATACTCTCTTTGCAGATAGTTGTGTTTACTGGTATTACTTTCAGAAAGTAGACTATAAGCAATATAAAACTCTGTATAATAAAGTTTGTAAGAAGGAGAAAAAAATTAACCCGTAAGAGTCATTTAAAAGTCATTCCCCCCATACCCCCATATGTTAAATACAGATCTTACTGCTCATCCAGAATATAAATTGTTTTACATGTCTCCAATAAAAAACAGAAAAGCTTTCCCTGATAAAACCGTTGTATAGAATTTATTTGAGACTAAGCTACTTGATATGTCTGACCTAGACTATAAGGTTTTCTATTAATGTGGTCTCTGTTTTTTGTTGTTGTTTTTTTTTTTTTTTTTAATCACATAGCGTAAAAATCTGCCCCAGTGCCAATGGAGATCTCAAAATATTAATTTTTCATGATGCCTCGTGGGAAAGTTTGTATGTTTTAGGTAGTTTCTGTCTGGGATTGTAAAGAAAAAGTTCTTAATTCTAACTCACTTTTAACCATTTCGGATATAGCTAGACTCTTTTCTCAAATGATCCCCTGTAAATAGACCCAGGTACAGTTCGTATTTCAGATGACTGCCTGGCTAGCCTGTCTTTTAATCAGTATCTAGGCTGAATAATTATAAGACAGAGGACAAAAATAAGTTAAGCCTTACAAGTGTGTGATATGGATAGAACAAGGTTTTAGCAAAAAGTGATGAGGCAGATAGCCTGAGGCCCTGTATGAAAATAGGTTATGTTAATCACTAGTAACTCCTCTTAGCTATAGTAGATATAATTTAATATTTAAAACCACATTAAAAATTGGTTTCAAGAAAAGAACTCAAATTTTAAAAAGTTTACAAACAACGGTATAAAAAAAAATGACCTGAGAAAAATGGGTCTTATCTTAATCAATTATATAATATTGTTTATTACTATAGAGTTTCAAATTTTGTTTTGTTTTGTTTTCTGATTTTTGTTTTTAGCCTTCAGAAGTACAATTTACAGAAGAAGAAGAAGCAATCAGATTAAATATAATGGAAAACGAGCCATTGCCTCCAGAAATTCTTGAAGCAATTCTTTCTGAGTGGTGGTTTAAGGAACCAATATGGTATCTTAATTTATATAGAATTTTACATTTATTGACTTTTTTTTGCTATGTTCTCAAAAGTTAAAAATGTAATCCAACATAAATTTAAGAATTTTCTCCATTTTTAAAAAATGTAAACCAGTGATTCTATACATTAAAAACATGTGGGGAATTATTATTTTAAAATACTGATGCCAGGGACTCCTAACCAAAAAAAAAAATGAATCAAATCTTTGTAGGAGTGTGAGGTTGGGACCCAGTCATCGGTATTTTCAAGAGCTTTCAAGGTGATTCTAATGTGTAGTTTCAGGTGACAACCCATGTTCTAAACCCATGTACACTAATGCTGGGCTGGACTCTTTTCATTGTCAACTTTTAATAATTACAGTTAAGACTACTTAATAGCTACCCATTTATCAAAAGCTAGAACCAAAACTGACCCCAGACAGGACTAATGTAAGAATCTCCAGATCACCAGAGTTTGAAACTTGACTTTGTTTTTCTAATCAAAATCTCTTGGCTTGGTATCCACCAGAAGAAAGTGAAATGATATTTATAGTACTAATAGCAAACTCTTATATAGAACTTAATATGTGCCAAGTACTGTTCTATATTTTATTCATATTAATTTACTCAATCTTTACTACTACCCTATGGGGTAGAAACTTTTGTTATCTCATTTTGGAGATAAGGAAACTATATCATAGAGAATTAAAGTAATTGGCCAGTCCCAGTGCTCCTCTGGACGCTCTTTCACTTAGTCTCTGACCCAGATGAGTGGGGTTATTAGTCATCAACTTTAATTTCCTATTCCCTAAATTAAATCAATAGTCGTAGTAAATGTAGGTAGGTTGCCTGCAACAACAGTGATCAGTTCTTTATCAGTTTAACTCTTGACATCACGCCATACTTTAAAAAAAAAAAAAAGCATATGAGTCGAAAACTTAAAAGTAAAAAGTGACAGTAAAAGCCTAAATAAAATAGCTGAATATTATGCAACCATTATAATGTATTATAATGAAGAATTTGTAATAGCATAAGAAATGTTATCATATAATGTTAAGTTAGAAAGGAAGATACAAAGTCATTTATAATATGATAGATGAATACATGAAGAACAAACTGGAAAGAAACAAAACGAAATGTCAGTAACCTCTGGAATATGAGATTATGGGTAATTCATGCTTTTCTGTATTTTCCACCTTTTTTATAGTGATATTTGTTGTTTTTATAATCAGAAAAACTCAACACATTTTTTAAAAGGTTTTTGCACTAGTCCTGGAAAGATATGATATGGGCCTGAAGTAAAATGTAATGTTAAAAATGGAAATGTGGGTACAGAAGAGAGCATGCCAGGACTTAGCTATTATATTTGAGAACAAAAAGGGAATTGAGGGAACAGTCCAAACATCTCTGAAGTCTGCCACTTGAATACTAGTGAGTTAGAATGAAGAGCAGTGTGGGAGGATAACAGTGAGTATGGTTTTTGACAGTGTGATGCATATATAATTCCTAAAGGGCGCTCACATGGAGAAACTAAGCAGCTTTTTGAGAATTCTGAGTCGAAGCTCAGAACAGAAGTTGGATGTAGAGGTAAAAATTTAGAAGTCATTAACAAAGAAGTGACAGCTGGAACAGTAGGAATGAAATTGTTCCTCACAGAAAAGACCATGTTGAAAATATCTCTGAAGAAAAGGATACATATTGTATGGTTAATGTATGGACATTTGCCCATTTAACAAGATAAAAAACATTTTTAAATGCCAATCAAGGCCAAAACTGTCAAATGTTCATGAAAGTCTGGTTCATATTAAGAAGAAAACATACGTTTAAATATAAATATGTAAACAAATCAAATTTCAGATAAACCGGATAAACTCTCATTCAAAAGGAACCAATGTTGACTTTCTCAACCAAGGAAAGCCAAGTTCTCAAAGCCTGATCATTTTATAGGTACTCCATAATGAGAACGTGTTAACATTCTGGTTATTTTCATGATTCTTAAAGTTTCATCACCTGAACAAGTTTGATCGTCGTATTTGAATAGAATCATCTTATACATATGAGCCAGAATACATCCACTAATAATTGTCATTATTTATAAGGACACCCGGGGGAGTGGTTATGAATTGTTTCATGAAAGGAAGTATCAATAAAAGAAAAACTGCTAAAAGTTGGATTCCTCCTGAAGGAGGGCTGACCAAACTCACCTTTATATAAAGAGTAACACTTTCATTAAGCTGGGCATTCCTCCCAGGCAGAGAACTTATTTTCTCTTAATTTTTCATCATTAAGACTATTTACAATTAAAGAAAACTTACCTATACTACAAATATAAGTATAAAGTATTATAATTTTAATTTAATTCAATACATTTGAGAGAAGACACATCATGTTTATGCACGTAGAAATATTAAATGAAATAAAAGATACTATAGTAAACTTTTAAAATTATTCATTGCACATCTTTTATAAAGTTGAGATTTACCAATACTTTTTCCTTTTTGATTTTATTTTATTTTATTTTATTTTAGCCAAGGCAACCCTTAGTTGACCTCACAGATTGCAAGGAACTTGTCAGCTTACAATTCCTTGTTTTTTATTTTTTACGCCTACAGCACCTGGTCTTCTTAGGTGGTCTCCCATCCAAGTACTAACCAGGCCCAACCCTGCTTAGCTTCCAAGATCAGATGGGATTGGGCTTGTTCAGGGTGGCATGACTGTAGACTTACCTTTTCATTTTTAAATCAATATTCATAATGTAATATTTTAAGCAAATAAAGTAAATTATGTAATTTCCACCAAGTTCCACAGGTTTTATATTAGATGGTTTCCCACGGTATCCTGAAGAGGTCCAGTTTCTGGGGGAACATGGATTTTTCCCAGATGCTGCTGTTTTTATACAAGTTGATGATCAAGATGTTTCTGATCGTCTCCTGCCTCCCCAAATTGAAAAGTGGAAACTGAAACAAAAGAAGAAGTTTGAAAGGAAAAAACTCATTAAAGAAATGAAAGCAAAAATCAAGGTATGTATCCAGTAAATAAGTATGAGAGTAAATTTGTTCAGCATATATTCAACTTATAAAGCAATCTTTACAAAAATGTATTTTCTGATTTTAATACCATAGTCAATATAAAAACACTTTTCTACAAATATTAAGAGTGTTTGTAATTAAAGAGTTAAGAATTATTTGAGGTGTATGTGATTATCAACATGTTAATTCTTCTCTCTCCAAGGCAAATAATAAAGGTAATGGTAGCACCAAAGACCAGACACAAGAGCATAGTGGAAGAGGCAGCAGGTTGAACGGGCCTTGAAACACAAAGAATGAAAAATTTCAGTGACTTTTTTAGTAGCTACTGGAATTATGACACCATCCATGAAGGCCACATAGGGCTATTAGTGAAACAGATTTAGATATTAGTTTAGAACATTTTTTCTAAAACTGTAATATGAATATTCCATAAAATGTTCAAAAGCGTCATAGGGAACCCAACAGTTCTACTGTCAGGAATCTATCTAACAGAATTGAAAATGTGTCCACAAAAAAACTTGTATATGAATGTTCATAACAATGTTATTCATAATAGACAAAAAGTAGAAACAATCCAATGCCTATTAGCTGATGAATGGATGAACTAAATATGGTGAATATGCAGACAGAACGTCTTCCTGGGTTCTGGCCCAAGATGGAGACATATGAGCCTCCTGAACTCACCTTGTCTCATGGATACACTGAATCTACAGCTACACACAAAGCAATTCTCTCTGAAGGAAACCCAGAAACTAGCTGAGTGAGTTTGTACCTTTTACTCCTACACATTGGGCAAACAAGAAAATACCTATATCACCCACATCAAAACAGCTGCTGCCTGAAGATCCAGCTTCTCATCAGCCTGTGCTGACTGCAGTCCCCCCTTTGGGACACTGAGGGGTCATAGCACACCTCAACTACTAGGGGCCTCAAAGAACAAAGAAGATAGCTTGGACAATTACAAAGATTTGAGAGACAGCCAAGAACTCGGGCCAAGCTGATCTATACAAGGCCACTGTCTTATGACTGGGAGAGGTGTCTGTTTTATCTAATGTACAGAAACCAACACAGAGAGTCAAAGAAAATGAAGAAACAAACAAAAAAAAATTGTTTTAAACAAAAGAATAAGATAAAACTCCAGAAACAGACCTCACCGAAATGGAGATAAGTGATTTACCTGATAAGGAGTTCAAATAATGGTCATAACATGCTCACAAGGTCAGGAGAACAGTGCATGAACAAAGTCAGAATTTAAACAGAAAAAATATAAGAAAGTACCAAACAGAAACCACAGAGTTGAAGAGTACAATAACTGAACTGAAAAATTCAATAGAGGAGTTCAAGAGCAGACTAGACACATAAATCAATGGAACAGAATAGAGAGCCCAGAAATAACCCCACACATATATTGTCAGTTAATTTACAACAAAAGAGCCAAGAATATGTAATGGGGAAAGGACAGTTTCTTCAATAAGTAGTGTTGGGAAAATTGGGCAGCCACATTTACATGACATTGAAAAGATGTTCATGCAAAAGAATGAAACTGGATCCCTAACTTATACAATACACGAAAACAACCCAAAATGGATTAAAGACTTGAACATAAGAACCAAAACCATAAATATTCTAGAAGAAAACATAGGAGGTAAGCTCCCTGACATTGATCTTGGCCATTATTTTTTATTTTTTTCATTTTTTTGGATTTGACACCAAAAGCAAAAATCAACAAGTGGGGACTACATCAAACAAAAAAGCTTCTGCACAGAAAAGGAAACCATCAATGAAATGAAAAAGCAATCTACCAAGTGGAAGAAAATATTTTCAAATTAAATATCTGATTAAGGGGTTAAAATCCAAAATATACGAAGAACTCATACAACTCAATATATTAAAAAAATCCAATTAAAAATGGGTAGATGAACTGAATAAACATGTTTTCCAAAGAAGAAATATAAATGGCCAATAGGTACATGAAAAGGTGCTCAACATCACTATCATCAAGGATGATAATTAAACCAAATTAAAACCACAATGAGATATCACCTCACAGTTGTTAGAATAACTTTCGATGAAAGACAAGCGATAACAAGAGATGGCTAGACCTTGGTGAAAAGGGAACCCTTTGCACTATTGATGGGAATGTAAATTGGTATAGCCACTGTGGAAAATAGTATGGAGGTTCCTCAAAAAAATTTTAAAATAGAACTATCATATGATTCACTAATACCTCTTCTGGGTGTATAGCAAAAGGAAATGAAAACAGGATATTGAAGAGATGTCTGCACTCCTGCATTCATCACAGCATCATTAACAATAGCTAAAATATGGAAACACCCTAAGTATCAATCAGTGGATGAATGAATGGATATAAAAAAAGTTGTCATGTTTACATATAAAACGGAATATTATTCAACTGTGAGAAAGGTGAGAAGGAAGGAAATCCTGCCGTTTGCAACAACATGGATGGAACTTAATGGGCATTATGCTAAGTGAAATAAATCAGAAGAAGACAACTACTACATGGCATTATCCTACACGTGGACTCTAAATAAAAAGTCAAACTCATGGAAACAGAGTAGAAAAGTGGTTGTCAGGCTCTGGGAGTTGCGGGGGAGGGGTGGGGAATAGAGAGAGGTTGGTAAAAGTGTATCAATTTTCAGCCAAAATGAAGGCAAGCTAAGCTCTCAGCCATCCAAGAACTATGGAAGTAAGGGGAGAGATTTGGACATATAACCACCTTCACATTGTTCTTGATGACATTCTTCCTTTTTCTGCTGCCTGATCTTTCTGAAGATGAACCAAAGTGTCTGCCAGGCAAGAGGCTCTGTGAGCATGGCAATGGAAAGGAAAGAAAGAAAAAGGAATACCAAAGCACATTTGCATGTTACCTCACTGTGGGACTGGGCCCCTCTAGACCAGCTCATAGAACTCCGTAATGACAAAAATGTTGTGTATCTTCATTGTCCAGTAGAGTAGCTGCTAGCCACATATGTGGCTATTGAGGTTAGTGAAATGGGGTTAGTGAGGCTGAGAACTCAAATATTAAATTTTATTTAATTTAATTTAATTTTAATATAAATAGCCACAATATGGCTAGTAGCTACCACATTGAAGAGAGCAGCTCTAAGGCAATAAAGCTCCATTCTAGACATCACATGCCCTGAGAATTTTAGGGATTTGGAAAAGGAAAGAACAGGTTTCAGGAACTAGCGCATAACCTTTTTCGCTCCTTCCGTTTCACATCCACAACTCCGCCCTGGTTCAGATCCTACTCAGATCGCTCCCAGCACTCCTGCAGTGACCCCCTAATCATCCTTCTTGGCTTCATCTCTGGACCCTCCAGGCCATCCTTCTGGCCACTCCAGACTGATATTCCTAACATGCTGTTTTGATCAAGCCCCACTTTTAAGGTCCAAACTCCTTAGTCTGGCACTAAAAGCATCCGAATCCTGTTCCACACCCTCTTTATGACTTTGTTGAAACAAATGCAAACCCATCTCTGCAGCACCTAACGTACCATATGCTTGTCCATTCCCTTATCTGGAAGTTTCTTATACAATCCTCCACTAGCCGTGTAACATTACATGAGTTAAACACTCTGACTTTGTTAACTCACCTATATAGTAGCATAATACTGTCAGCCTTGAAGATACTGTTTGAGCAGAAAATGAAAGAATATATATATTGCAGTGCTCAGAACAGTGATGGCATCTGACAGACATACAATTAGTTAAATTTCACTGACCACAACTTACTTGAGTGAAAGGATCAGAGGAAAACTAGACTCAAAATATGTATATGTGTTATTGTATGCACTTTGCAATTCCTTGTGGTATATACAGTTGTCTCTGTGTATGTTATGAAAACACAAAGGAGACTGTTTCCACAACTCTATAGTTAAAGCACCTATGATAAAGCTCTGATTTTTTTAAAAAATTAATAATAAGAGTTTTTGTGACCTCTCACCCTCTAAAGAGATACAGAACCTCTCTAGGGGCTCAAAAACTAAATGAATTTGATTCCATTCAGTTTTATAATTTTATCTACACATATTTCTTGAGTGTCAACAAAAACAAATTCTCTAAAATAAATACTCACTAACAGCCAGATAAAAGCAACAGGGTCCTGTTGGCCTAGACCTGAGTCCCCAGAACATGTCTTCAGGCATCATTCTAATCTCTCAGGATTTAAAGGGACTCCAATTTGGAGAGTCCTGAGCCAGTGAGCCCCAAAACTGAAGTGGGGCTGATCAGTTTTCATGTGAACCTTGGGGACATATCAAAGGATCCCATTAGATTTAGAGGCCCCTAGAAAACCTGGAGGACCACCCATACACCATGCCTGTAGATGTATCCAGAGCATATATGCTTTCCTCACTTGTGTGTGTATCGTTTCATTTTATTAGGCTCTTTTGTTTTAAAAGTTTGATAAAAGGTAATTAAACATTTTCAACAGGTTGCCTCCAAGTTTTTCCCTATTCCTCCATATACAAAATCTACCTCTTTACCAAAAGCAAATAAGTAATAAATTTGAATAGGAATTCTAAAGTTTGTGGAAGAGTGACTGGCTCCAAGTGCTGTTTATCTCTCTGAAGGGAAATGGCTGATCAAGAGATCTGGAGGTACAAGGATGTAGTAACATAATCACATACCTTTTTGGAAAGCTCACTGTCCTTCCACCCGAATGTTATTCCCAC